GACGCCAAAAGGCGCACGGATGTAGTTCAGTGTCGCGATTGATGGAGAGATAAATTTTGTTACATGGGGCGAATGTTTCGGACCTCTGGTGGCCGGAGGGGGTGATGTTAGCACATTATCTAACATATCGTGACACATGCTACGTATTAAAAAGACGTCGATTTTTACACACGCGATGAGTATGTGCTGATCTTAAGGAATCGGGGTTGAGTCATCGAATGTAATCGTTACAGATTACACCCGTTAACTGCGGATGCAATGGGGGAAAAAAAAATTCGAGTCGAGTCGGTGTCTTTGAGGACAAAACAGTAACTCACCACGACGTGTTCGTCCTGTGGATGGCCTGGTCTCTGCCATGTGAACATGGATGGTCTACCACTGGCTCTGCTCTGAAATTCTCCAACACTGGGAACGTTTTTTCGGCCTAGCCCAATCTCGGAAATCGGTGTACTTATGCAATTTGAACTTGTATACTTTTCTTCTGAAGGTATTTATTTTGTCATTCGTTTACCTTTCCTATACTTTGCACTCATATCGGGTTCTCGTTGCATTTTTTTGTCGTAGTAAACTTGCACGCCCGACCCAACATCTGTGAGAGAAAAAAACAGCTTCACAGCTCATCGTATTTCTCCAGCATAAAGAAATGATTCCGAGTCTTCTTTGCTTTGGCAGAAAGACACGAAGACGCGACTGTGAGCCATGCCCGGCGCCAGATCATCTCAATTGTGTGGTGGGGAGAGAGAGGGGGGGGGGGTATCCAGTTCTGTTGTGCGAAGGGGGGGGGGTGCAGAGGGACATTCGGGTGGTGCAGGGGGCCACCCCAGCAGCACCCCCTAGCGCCGGCCCTGCGACAGGAACCTCACAGAGTCGGCTGAGCTGCACTCTCAGACGCCTCCAGATGGTGGCCACACCGCTGCAGCCACTCACTGCCGTGGGGTGAAGCCCCCAGATTCGAGGTCGCCCGGCCCGGAAGAGGTAGGGAGCGAGACGCATCCAGAAGTGGATGTCAAGGGCGAGCGGTGCATTAACCGCAGCTGCGAGATCAGAGATTTAATTAGGGGCCGTCCGTAAATGACGTCATGCGATTTGACGATTTTTGACCCCCCCCCCACTTCGTCACACGGCGTCACAAAAAGTCAGACCCCCCTCCCTCAAATATGACGTCACAAAGCTCTGCCCCCCCCCAAAAAAAACATGCTTCAAATCGCTTTAAACTATTGTCATTGTAGTGCGTATTTAATGTGGCGCTGCACTCTGATGTTATGGGAGAAGACACTTATTAAAAAGTCTATTGACTTAAAGCTTTCGTGACTGCAGGAATTCATACTTTGGGTCTTTCGGTAAAGTCACGTAGAAAAAAAAATCACGACGTTTCGATCGCAACCCAAGCAGTCGTCTTCCGGTGAAAAAAATACAGCAGGCGGACTGCTGAGGCAGGAAGAAATGTGTGTTCAGAAGGGAAATTGAAGGTATGGGCAATACATGTATTCAGAAGAGAGGTATTGCATTCAAAATATGTGCTTGATTGCAGGGTGAGGTTTTCAGAAAGGGATATAAAATCTGACAGGGCATGGTGCAACAATAAACAGGCGTGTGCACAAGTCTCATTGATGAGACGGGCAAATTTGACGATGGACTGGAGACCAATGGAGGGAAGAAGGGAGATGGATCGGTAATGGTTGGAATGATGAGATTTGGGGGTGGATGAGATATGGGGGTGGCAGACATGGGGGGGGGGGGGGGAGGTTGTGCCGTGCCCTGCAGTGGCACCGTTGGCGGCTAAGAACAGGAGTAAAGTGTAGGGTAGGGATGTTGCGCGTTGTTAAAACAGCGCGCAAAGAAAACACATTGCTCTTTAGTCACGCGGTTCCTCTCCGGATTTTAAGAGCGACAGCGAGTCGGGACGGCGATGTGTGCGCTTGAATGACACCTCAAATTTAGTAGCGGGGCCGTCTTTGGCCCTTGTCCGGTTCACGGCTCTTGCGATGACGGCACGGTGTCATCTCGTGCCCACGTGGACGTGCACGAATCAAGCCTAACGCGCGACTGCGTGGTTCTTAGTTTTGATGTACGGCGTGGTTCTAGTTTTGATGTACGGCGTGGTTCTAGTTTTGATGTACTGTATTAACGGGTATATTATATGGAAAAAAAAGAAAAACGCGCACTGAAAACTAACGCCAGGAAGAATGTATAGACAGATGCACGCTTAAGTATTGCAGTGAGACACAAAAGAAAGAAACACGTGGATGAGGTTGCCACACGCAGGAATGCAAACTGTTAAGAAAAGCAGGCTTGGGCCAGGACTGGCGATCGTTACTGATAACAGAGTGGTGGCCAAGGAATGGATCACAATCCAGGAGTACATCTACCGGGGAGATGGAGCGATCAAATTACAACATGTGCAGATGCTGGGTGGATTGTTGCCTCGCGGGATCGTGGGAAGGGGGGGGAGGGTGGAGGTGGCGACGGCGTGAGATGGTGGTCTTCAGCCAGCAGTGGATCGATTCCATTCTACCGTAAGATGGCGGCAGCAATATGTCCATGAGATAAATGCCAATGTCGAAGTCTGCTCTCCACGTCTAGAGAGGGCTTCAGCAGAGAGAGTTCGTATAGTTCATGATACGGTCCATAGTTTGGGTTGCATGGCCACAAATCGCACTACTTCAGCTTGTCTCAAATTTCCCATTAATGAAATGTTAACTTCCTTGCCTAGTATACTGAAGGCCGTCAGTTGGAACCCAACCCCAACGCTTTTGGATATAAGAATAGGTTTACCTTTTCTGGCAATAAAACAAGTGTTAAGACGTTAAAACACCAAACAAACATTTTGCAAGAAACCCTGTCTGCATTAGCCACACACGTACTTGTGGGAACATGGAAACAAAAACACATGCTCTGATAATTAATATGTAACACGATTTTTTTCTGGGTAGTAAGTGTTATTTTCTAATTGCTTATGCCTCAAAAGTACAGAAAATGGCTATTTTTCCCCACGAACTTTGCTTTTGTGACCAGGACTTTATGTGAAGGAATCACACAAATACACACCACGTTTTCTCATTGAAAATAGGTACATTTCAAAATATCACTGTCCATATCACAAAAGCAAAGTTTGGGGGGAATAATAGCCAGTTTCTGTACTTTTGAGGCATAAGCAATTGGAAAATAACACTTGGTACCCAGGAATTTTTTTTGTTACACAGTGTAATGTATGCATTGTCTTTGAAACTGATTGGTCCATACCAGAGACAGCTTTCTTTAGAGCCTAGTCTCAAAACCTATTCTTATATTTTGATACTGGCAAGAAAGGTCCCATATTGGATATTTGGAGTTTGCATGAATCTCCCCATGGTCGTGTGGATTTGTCTCCAGGTCCTCCGGTTTTTCCCTCGACATTTAGAATCAACACGCGTGTAGGGTTTTTGGCTGCTATAAATCTCCACGTGATAATCCACTTCGTTGAGTTATTGTTTGTGGACAGGTCGCTTCCGACAAAGAAAAAACAACTAAATAGCTCAGTGGGCCTCTGATTAACTGAAAAAAATCGTTTGTTATTTTCCTAAATGGCGAATACCGTGGTTCCAACACTCGACGCTGGAAGCCACGGGTGGCGGTGGCGATTATGGATAAGCAGGTGTTGGGAGGATTTGCAGAAGCGAGAGGAGGAAGCGGAGAGAAGACGCCATCCAGGGATCGGGGCGCCGCCTCACTCGTCGCCGGCTTCTTCACGTGGCGCGGCAGAAAGGCATTCGTCAATAACACCGACGTTCCGGGCAATGGCACTTCTTCATTAGCAAGGGTGGCGTCTGTTGCGTTATTGACAAACGTCGCAATGTTATTGGCGCGCGTGTGTCGATTGTGCTTGTGCACCACGGCCAACGCAGCAGCAGCAGCAGCCTCACCGAATTATATTTCCCAAGTCACAGTTTAGCACCCTCTCCCCCCCCCCCACGAACACGTGTCACGAAAGCCATCATGAAAAGCCCCACGTGGAACGCAGCACTTCGCTCGGCGACCCACCGGGGAAGAGTTCCGCAAATTCCACGAACATTCAGAGAAAACCCAACGAGACAACGACGCACGTTCTAATTTCGTAAATGCCCGCGTTGCTCCTAACACGCGATGCTGGGATGTTGGTCATAAATGTGCCTACAAGACTGAGGAACGTTCACCATTGTAATCAATCAATCATCACCACCATCATTAGCAATGCCATCATCACCACCATTAACAAGATCACCACCAACCAAAATCATCACCACGACCACCCGCACAGTGATCACCTTGGAAAGAGTCGGTTTATTTAATCTCCTGGTTAAATATAGGATAGTGCCTGGCTTTCAATCATTAAAGCCACCGTCATAACCGCCATCAAAATTTTCGTAATAGTCATCATTACCACCATCATCATCATTACCACCACCATCGTCATCGCTACATCACAGCCTAGGACAGTGGTTCTTAACCTTTACTGCAGCCCAGTATCACCCCTTTGGTTCTCCATCGAAAAAAAAAGTGCAGCGTTAACAAAAACATTGGTTTGATGAAACAAAGTAGTTTTACCGACGTGTCCGTGCTTAATTTGCGCTTCGATTATTTACCTTCTAAAAAAAATGTTGCCCATGTCTCGCACCCCCAGAAAGGGCATCTGGCACCCCAGCAGGTTAAGAGCCACTGGCCTAGGAGGACCGCATTGTTCGCGAGGTGCTTACGCGACGACCGAGTGGCAACCCCAACCCTCCAGCACGTGGCAGGCCGCCGACCACCACCGCCGCGGCGGCGGGACAGCAAAGAGCCGGACAGGACCGGCGCGGGAAGAGGGGGGGGCACCTCCAGCCCACATTTCTCTCCTCCCTTCATCTCCCGCCACTGCGTGCCAGCTTCATCTGCTGCCGCCGCTGCTACCCACAACTCTCCCACCATCTTCACCTCCCCAGCGCTCGCTGCCTCTAACGTCCGCACGCACACAAACACACACACACGTGCACCGGCTCACCTACCCTGGACTGGAGCGATCCTTTGAAGGCCGTCGCGAACATTCTCCGAAAGGAAAACAAAAACTGATTTTTCTCTAAGTATGTTTTTGCTTTGCCCGCGACGCCCAACTGAGTGCTTCTTGTGATGAGTAAATGAGGTCGAGCCGGCTTTTCAGGGCGCCCAACCCCCGCTGCACCACCCCTCCTTCCCTCTCAACCGGGCCCCCGCGTCAACCACCCATGCGCCTAAACCACACCTAGCGATGTTGAACTAATTATCTGGTGAGTCTGCGGCTGCAGCTGCTGCTGCTGCTGCGTTGGCAGTGGTGCAGAAATAACGAAGAAACACCCTCGGACACACTCAATATAAATATATAATATGCGACGTTTCGCGCAATGACCCTTAATAGCACACATCATTGTACAATGTTGTAGAACAATTCGTGGCAATCGATACATCAATTGAGTTTGTGTAAATACATGTTCATCAAGGACTACATACTGATGTACCCCCCCCCCCCCCCCTGGTGAGACATTGCTTAACCAACACATACTTCACCTGGAATGGAACTTTCTACAAACAGAGGGCACCCCAATGGGCTCCCCCCCTGTCTCCGGTTGTAGCCAACATATTCATGGAAAAATTTGAAACTGACGCCATCCAGACTGCCACTCTACGCCCAACCATATGGAAGAGGTATGTAGATGACACTTTTGTCATCTGGCCACATGGCCAGCCTGCTCTAGACCAATTTCTCGACCACATCAATTCCATACACCCAGCCATCAGATTTACCATGGAGGTCGAAAAAGATGGCAAGCTACCCTTCTTGGATGTCTTAATTAAAAGGAGACCTGATGGTTCAATGAGCCATTCTGTCTACAGAAAAGCTACCCATACAGATGCCTACTTGAAACCGGATTCCCACCACCATCCATCCCAGAAGAACTCCCTCATCAAGACTCTATACCATAGAGCCCAATGCATTTTCGACCAGGAACACATTGCCAGTGAACTCAAGCACGTACACCAGGCTCTCAGGGCTAATAGTTACTCCGACTACACAATCGGCAAAGCCATCACTCCAGTCATGAAGAAGGATCCTCTTGAGGAGCCACTCAAAACCATCACCTTACCCTACATTGCAGGGGTCACTAAAAAGATCTCCAAAATCCTGAACAAACACAAGATCCAGGTCCGATTCAACACAGTACATAAAATCCGTGATCTGGTTCCATCTGTAAAAGATGCTGTTCCAGACATACAGTACCCGGGCGTTTACAAACTAAAGTGCCTCTGTGGTAGCAACTACATTGGAGAAACCAAACGACATATCTCGGACCGCATCCGGGAACATAAAGCTGACTTGAAACACGGTAGGACGAACTCTTCTGCCGTTGCAGATCACTGTTATAATTCAGTGGGTTCACATGACATCGACTTCTCCAAGATGGAGGTTCTTTGCAAGTCAACCGGCTACCATGAGAGATTTGTTCATGAGGCCATCCACAAATACAAACACAGAGACAATTTCAACCGAGAAGATGGATTCTGGCTTAGTAACCATTGGAAAGATGTTTTAAACCATTTCGGCTATTAATTAATTGTATTTTACAGTGAAAGTCAGGCCGCAGCTCTTTCACTGGCATTACCTTACCCAGTTGCCATGTGATTAAGAGCTCAGCTTATTGAAGAATATATTAAGTACATTTATTATATTGATGTAATACAGACCCAGTTTTTTCTGCACATCGGTTTACTGTATGATAGTTGGGTAGTTGGAGACCTTCAGCGTCCATACATTAAATACCTCAGTTGAAAGGTAAACTTTGACTCTAACATAGCTATTTTTGTCACAAGCTAATTCCCTCAACTATTTCAATGCTAAAATTCTCCTGCTTTGATACGCTAAATCCTTTGTCAAGACGTTTCATGCCCCCTCACCGAGATTAAAAGACACTCAGTATATAGTGTAGTGTATACCCAGTTGCTTTGTGATTAATAGCCCAACTTATTGAAGAATATATTAAGTACATTTATTATATTGACGTAATATATACTTTGTTTCACATCAGTTTAATGTATGATAGTTGGGTAGTTGGAGGCCTTTAGCATCCATATACTAAATGCCTCTGTTGATAGGTAAACTTTGACTTTAACATAGCTATCTCTGTCACAAGCTAATCCCTCAGCTAATTTCAATGCTAAATTCTCCGACTTTGATACTTAAACTCCTTTGTCAAGACGTTTCATGCCTCTCACCGAGCGTAAAAGACACTCATTAAATAGTGTATTGTATATCCAGTTGCCTCGTGATTAATAGCCCAGCTTATTGAAGAACATATTAAGTACATTTATTATATTATGTAATATAGACTTAGTTCTTTTCACATCGGTTTACTGTATGAAAGTTGGGAAGTTGGAGACCTTTAGAGTCCATATACTAAATGCCCCTGTTGATAGGTAAACTCTTGACTCTAACATAGCTAATTCTGTCACAAGCCAATCCCTCAGCCATTTCAATGCTAAATTATCCTGCTTTGATACTTAAACTCCTTTGTCAAGACGTTTCATGCCTCTCACCGAGCGTAAAAGACACTCATTAAATAGTGTATTGTATATCCAGTTGCCTCGTGATTAATAGCCCAGCTTATTGAAGAACATATTAAGCACATTTATTATATTATGTAATATAGACTTAGTTCTTTTCACATCGGTTTACTGTATGAAAGTTGGGTAGTTGGAGACCTTTAGAGTCCATATACTAAATGCCCCTGTTGATAGGTAAACTCTTGACTCTAACATAGCTAATTCTGTCACAAGCCAATCCCTCAGCCATTTCAATGCTAAATTCTCCTGCTTTGATACTTAAACTCCTTTGTCAAGACGTTACATGCTTCTCACCGAGCTTAAAAAGACGCTACGAATCTTAACAACACTCATTGGAGCACTGTCGTCCCGACAGCTCTGTTCTTTCACCTGATGAAGGCTGCTTGTGTTGTGGCCGAAACGTCGTGAGAATTTTATTGTCTTATTTTATTTTATTATTTTATTCTCATTCTACGTGACTTTACCAAAAGAACCAAAGAAGAAGATACATGCGGCTGGATAATATTGGCGTTAAAAGTCCACTGATTTCTCAATGTTGATTCGGTAATTTCAATACTCGATTATCTATATGAACGATGACATTTGCACGTAGATCTTGTTACTTTAAAGATGAACGCAGATCCACGTGATGCGACGCGCGTTATAATCATTATCAAAATGCGCTCCCTGCACCAACCCACGCTGACCAGAGTGGTGAAGTGTGAACTCGTATCTTAGAGAGATTGCCCGAATTGCACGAGGCAGCTCACCGCCATTCAAGCGCAAGCGTGAGTCTGTGGGGGCTAGTGCCCCCCTCCCCACTAGGTGGGGGCTGATCTCCCCCTCACTCACCACGAGCGGGGGGGGGGCGTCACGTCTAATTGGTGGGGGCTGATCTCCCCCTCACTCACCACGAGCGGGGGGGGGGGGCGCCACGTCTAATTGGTGGGGGCTGATGCCCCCCTCCACGCGGGGGGGGGGGTGCGATGTTTGCCTCCCCCACCCCCGTCCCCTCCGCGTTTGTGTCTTTCGGGGTCCCCCGCGCCCCCTAGCGGGTGACCGCCCCCCCCCGTACCAGGGTCGTCTCGGACCGACATAGCTAGCGGCTAGCCGAGCCCGTCTAGGGGTGGATTACGCGCGTGCCGACCCGCACTCGCGTGTCCTAACCGCGTGGGTTACGTAATGGTTTGAGTCCCCGCTGTGTGGGGATAGTTAGTAATTTCCCCCAAGCCGTTGTGTCAACAAGGCGAACGCTCCCGCTGCGGTCCGGATATTAATAAATTAATCGGCGCTCGCGCGGCCCTCCCCTCCACCCCCACTCGCCGCTCGCGGCTGTTTAGCGTTAACTAATTATTTCTACTCAGCTCTCGGAATCAATTAATTAATCTCGGCGCGCTACGCGGTGGCGGTCAAGCGTTGGTATTTGAATATGCGCGCGTCACACCCGCACTGATTTACAGTCATCCACACACCGCTCCTCACACGGACACACGCACCACGCGTCACAGTGTCAGTCTGTGCTTAGATTTATTTCCCGGAGCGAATAGGGGACCCCCGTTTATGGCCCCCTCCAGCCAGCACCCTTCCTCCTATCACCTGCCCGTCGCAGAGTGCGTCGATCCCCTAAGCTCGAGCTGACTAAATTGGCCTCCCTTTTCCGTGCCCACTCACCTCTTCAGTTGCCCGATGGGGCTGGGGAAGATGCTCGCCTTGGGGAATTTTTCTGACCAATCGCTTTCAGCCCCACCCTGCATTTGTCGCACGGACGCTGAGGATGGCTGGCCTCTCCCGCCGTTCCAGAAGAACGCTGATCCAGATCTCCCTCCTCCCCCCCTTATGTGTCCAAAGCCCATTAAACCCCCAGGTCATATGACGTCATCCTGCTCATCCAATTGAATCTTCTTTTCAGCCGTTTTGAGCGCTCTGGCCATTGGGGGGGGGGGAGGGGGGGTCGCGTCACCCCCCCCCCCCTTCCCATTTTCTCCGTACCTACGTTCCTCGCCGGTGATTCATCGATTATCCCCTCGCCCCCTCCCACTTAAGTCAACTCTTATTGGCCTGGGGGCTTTTCCCTCCCACCCCACTGTTTGCTCTGCCGCTGGGTACTGGCTGAAGGTCCCACCGCCCCCCCCCCCCCCCCATGTTGTATAAAGCTCTATGCCCCCTTTTTGGGGGGCCGCCATGTAATCCGGTCTGGGGGGGCTCAGCCAATTTCCTGGTCCGGGGAAACCGTGGAACGTCCCTGCTAGTGGGATCCTCGGGTGAAAACCCATCGTACCACGTGATCCCTCCTCGAGACCCTACGGGGGTGCATGCGAGTGTTTAGTGGGGCATGCGTAAGTTGAAACCGGACAAGGGTTGTGTTTGTACTGCCATTCTTGTACATGGGTTGCCTCAATAAAGAAATAAAACAAATGCGGAGGGACATATATATGGAGATGTAGTCTTCTTATCGATAGGCTTCAATTTTGTTGCCAGAAAAAAAGGGGAAAACCCTTATTATTACATTTTGGTACTGGCAAAAGGAGGTCTAATGATGTAGATGCTCACCCCGAGCCCTCATTACTT